GTCCGTAGGGAACCCTACCGGGATTGTGGTCTCCCATACCGAACGGGGTATGGAGATCTTATGTGTTTTGGCGCCCATACCGGATGGGGTATGGGGACGGCCCGTTTCACTCTCATACCGGACGGGGTAATGAGGTTTATAGTTTGGCGCCCATACCGGACGGGGTATGGGGACGGCCAGTTTCACCCTCATACCAGACGGGGTAATGAGGTTTATAGTTTGGTGCCCATACCGGACTGGGTATGGGGACGGCCCTGGAATATGATTTCAAGTGTTAAGGGTTAACGGGTAGGGGGACCCCTATGGATTCCCATGGATACTAGTGGGCTGGTAAACGAGGAAAAATATGTTGTGTAATGATTGAATTACGAGAAGCTTGATATGTATTATGTTATACAGTTTATATATGATTTCATGATGATGATGATGTTATTGCTTTCGTATATTGTTTTAATGAATTTCACCGAGGTAAGTGAATGGTAAATGTTTTATTATTGATAAAAGGATTTGTTGTAAATTATGTTCCATTGTTCTTTTTGTGTTTTCTACCCACCTTTACCTCCGTGACGGTGAGATATCGTGATGTCTTTACTAGGCTAGTGTAGCTCATTCGTTATTTAATCATTTCAGATCAGGAAGACATTGTTCCCGAGCCGGTTCCGCAGGAGGACGACGAAGGGGACGCCTAAAGACTCCATAGTCATATTCGTAGCTTTTACTTTCAAGTTTCTCATTTAGGTAGTTAAATCTTTTATATTGTGAGCACGTCTTTGGTTTTAGTACAAGGGATGTTAATCGAATTTTTGACTTCGATTCCGTATTTGATATTTTTAATATACATTTCATTATGAATTTCCGGGGCTGTTACAGCGTCCCTCTGGCAATTGGCGCTCTGGCCACCTTCTTCTTTTTCTTTGGCTAGGTGTCGGCTACGGTTTTGGTTCCATCCAAAAAGGAGTTTAAATGTTCCACTCAATGTTATCAAGGCCCCTCATTCAAGTCAACCTGGAGCGAAGAGGACTGTTCGATGATTTTTTATTTAAGCCGATGGTGTTGACGAATCTAAACTGTTCATCACAATCAATTTCGTCCGACCGATCGTGTAATACCCGCGTGGTGAGGCACGCTGACTCGGTGCAACGCTTGCGATCCACGTGCCCCGTGATCAGACAACCTAGAAGGGATCTCGTGCGCGTGGATGGTTCGATTTTATTTTCTCCTTATGTGCAATCGGACGGTCGAGATCAAACGGATGAACAACCCATATTCATTTTTTTCTTAGGTGCAATTGAACTGTCGAGATCAAACGCGATGAACGGTCCAGATTAACGCGAGATGGGTATTAATATTTTGCATCACACTGAACCCGAACCCTAACCACTAGCCTCCCACTGAAGAAGAAGAACCAGTCCTCGGAGAAGGGAGCCGATCGCCAATTACCACCGCATCGGAGCTAGCTCCGACTGCAAAAAAATGTAAAAATTCTTCTACCCGCTCGGAATTCAATTCTGAGCACCCTTGTGGCCATATCAAAGCAAAACGAACGGCAAGTGGGATAAAAACTATAGGCAAAGCCCAGCGGAGCTGCTGTGGGAAAAACTCGCAACCTCCTCTGGTGAACCCCTTATTGTTTCCCATTTTGTGTGATTTTTTCACTGTTGTGTTCATCTTTCTTTTTTCTACAAGTTGATCGTAGAAAAAAATCTCAGTCAAAAAGTGAGTTGGTGAAGCCGCTGCACCCGAAAAACTCCATCATCAATTTTATTTTCTTATTTTTTGGGCCAACCGAGGCCCCCTAATGTATTTTTGCACAGGGATATGTATAAAGGCTGCTGACATCGGCAAAAAATGGTCATATCGAGACAAATTGCCCCCATGGGCGGTGGTGCCGTCGCTAGAACACGGTGGTATCATTGTGCCAGAACTCCAAAATATGTCAGAAAGGATTTTTAACACTGATTTTGGATCGTTTAGGTATTTTTAGGTACGTAAAGCTTTTTTTAATTTTTACAGAAAAATTCAGAAAATTCGGGGACCATTAGTACACGCAGTAGAATGTTTGGTGTTTCAAATACCAATTCGAGTAAGAAGTTTTTTTCATATTTTCTGTTATAGAATTGAAGTTTAATAATCTATAATATGATATTTTGTGAAATTTAGTAAAACTTTGAGAATAATTACAGGTCGCTAATGGAGCCGGGACTGTTTAGTTATTTATTTGTTATATTTAACTGATTATTTGAATTTATAGCTATAAAATACATGATAATATATTGGAATTGTTAAATAATTCAGTTCTACTTCCTTGATGCATATATTGCTTGTATTGCGTGATTTACGATTGATTTGTAAAATTTGAAATTAATATGTAAATAAAAAATTGTTTGTTTATGTGAATT